TTTTTTTTTTTTTTTTTTCAGACCTATTTTCTAGACCTTTCTGTTGTTTCAGTGAAGTAATCTGATTGATGCCAATCACAGAACTTGATGATCCTTCAGAATCTTAGTCCCAACTGGAACACTCTGTCATCTTGGGTCACAGTTCCTGGGCCCCAGTGGCCTCCTCTGGCACCATGGACATCAAGCTGTGGGGCATGGGGCCGAAGGGTGAGGCTCTGTGCTGGGATGGAGCAGAGGGGAGGTGGAGGTTTCTTCTCACACTAGCTCTGTGCACACATATTTGTTCAAAGTCAGTTCCAGTGACCTGACGCAGTCTCGCTCCCAGATCCAGAAAACTGCAAGGCTTTGGGGAGGATGGCAGTATAGATTTTTAAAGAATGTCAGTTACACACACACACACACACACACACACACACACACACACACACTCCTTTAATTTCCCCTGCATTTTTGGATAATCAAATCAACATTTAGGGCTCCCTCTACCTCCCTTCACCCTCACAGCTTATATTTTACAGATTACGTTTATATGAATTGAGTTGGCTCAGAAGTTGGTTGGCTTGAGAAAATAATGTTTATTCCTTTTTTTTTTTTTTGGTTTTTTTTTTTTTTGGTTTTTTTTTTTTTTGTTTTTTTGAGACAGGGTTTCTCTGTGTAGCTCTTTTGAAGCCTGTCCTAGAACTCACTCTGTAGCCCAGGCTGGCCCCGAACTCAGAGATCCACCTGCCTCTGCCTCCTGAGTGCTGGGATTAAAAGCCTATGCCACCAGTGCCCCGTATGTACCTATTCCTTTCTAACCTTGTGATTAAGAGGCTGTGACAGGGACACGAAATCTCCACAAGTGACTCCCGGCAGTAGGACGCATGTCTGAAAGTCCATCTCACACGATTCCCGTCACATCCCTTCTGTCCCTTCCTCATCAATGCCAATCCCCAAGCTCACGTCAGTGTGGCCGTGGGGCTGGCTTTTGCCACAGGGAAAAGAACATAAGGGAGTGTGTGACTGCTCTTGTCACTTGCTTTAAAGTGACACAGAAATCTGCTGTGGACTTTCTTCCTTAGAGATCCCTAAATCTACCTGGCATGTCATAGAGCAGGTCCCAGATGGGGCCACGCAGGGAGGAACCGCCTTATGAGGTGGCCAAGCAGGTAGGCGTGTGTGCCCTATGTCTGTGTGTCCCTCCAGCCTGCGTGGTTCCCATCACAACTGGAAAAGGAAGCTAAGGGGCGGCCTCTCTTTGCAGTTTACCCTTGTGCTCTGGATCCTGACTCAACTCCAGATGTCGGGACAATTTCTTCTAAGTCTTTTCATATATATATATATATATATATATATATATATCAGCCCATGTAAGCACTATAGTCATTCTGGAATTGGACACCAGCCTTCATTTTTAAGAAAATGCAACCTGAGAGGGCTCAGAAGCTCCTGAAGTTCAGAGCTAGTGGTGACTGGTGGATCCACCCCTGCGTGACATGAGCTGCTTGGACAGGGCGCGTTCTCCATGCCTAGATGTATCCAGGCATGGGCCTTAGATGTCACTGGAACAGACTTAAGAACTAGAAACGGAGTGGGTTTGATGATGATCCTTGACATCTTTTTAGAGGACCTCCAGTTCTCTGCTTAGTAATGTGGTCTGCAAATTAAATTCTTCTAAGTGAGCCGGGTGGTGGTTGGCACACGCCTTTAATCCCAGCATTCAGGAGCCAGGCAGATCTCTGTGAGTTTGGGGCCAGCCTGTCCTACAGAGCAAGATCCAGGACAGTCACCAAAACTACACAGAGAAACCCTGTCTCAAAAAACAAACAAACAAAAAAAACCCAAAGCCACCACAACAAAAAATTCTCCTAAATGTTCTTTGTATGTGACTGTAGAAGTAAAAGAACATCTAAAGGGGCCAACTGAGGTGAAGGACAGTGTCAAAATGGGAAAGGAGATAAATGAAGAAATCATGAGACTTTTGAGTACTGAAGAAAGGCGAAGTTTAATTTGCATGTCGGCATAACCTACGCCTCACTTGGCAAGTGCCAGGCCACAGCACAAATCCCTCATTAGAGTTACAAATGACAGCAGATGTACAAAGTAACCAGACACAATGTGTTTCTCTGACTAACACATGTGTTTGTACACACAAACACGCACATACATACAAATAATAAGTACATTTAATTCCTCTGTAAAAGAGAGCTCAGAATGGTACTCAGTTACCTCACAATTGTACAGCACTTTAAAGTTTACATTCTGACCCCTTTGGTCCTCAGGACAGCCCAGTGAGGTAGACAGCACAGGAATTATGATTAATCCCATTTTATAGATGAGGAAACTGAGACACAGAGGTGTAAACACTGGCCTAAGTTTCTTCAGCTGGACGATGCAGAGCTAGGCTGAGACTCAGGTCTGGTCCAGTGCGCTTTCAGAACCAGCTTTCTGGTGAAGACTGAAATGGGTTGTGGAAAGACAGTGGTTCGACATTGTGAAGGAGGGGGATTATTTGAGCAGATCCGATCAAGAATGGTCAATCCTAATCTTAACATCGAGCCCCGAGGCAGCTGAGATGGAAACAGTTAGGTCACTCGTGTGTCTGTCCCTATAACAAAAGGTCCCTGTCTACTGCTCTGACCTGGTGTAAGCTAACAGCGGCCTCTGCAAGGATGCTGGTTACAGACCACCCCACCACAGACTTATTCTAGGAATCACGTAGTGATGTCTTTAAACAGATCACTAAACTTACAATCTTATTTCTCACAGAAATGAAAATGAGTTCCATTCATTAATTTCCTCCAGCTGTGGACATCAGCCTGGCTAAAAATAGGATATTATCTTTTATGTCATCTCAACAGTAGTAAAAATGATAAATTTTGCAAGTTGAGATTTAAAAGAAACATATTTAAAATAAGAGATCTTTTCATGGGGGAATAACATTAACGACTGAAAAGAAAAGCTAAGTAAAATTCTTTTTTTTTATTGTTTTGTTTTTTGTTTTTTTTGAGACAGGGTTTCTCTGTGTAGCTTTGCACCTTTCCTGGATCTAGGGTGAAAGCTGAGCATTTTAGGAGTGACCCCTTTATTGCGTTCCTCTTCAGGCCAGATGCAGTCACTGGTGGCCTACAGTCTTGTCTCCCCTAACATGAGAGAAGAGGGCAAGCCCATGGTCACATCAAATGTTTACAGTGGCTTTTCTCTTTCATGAGTTTCATTTGTTTACATGTGGGACTTTGAGATGCACCAATAAACACACAATAAAGGAGGCTGTTAGAGCCACTCTGAAAGATTGCCACAGCACTTTAAAATCCCTCTTTAAACTCCTCAGGGGAACTGCAGAAGAAAAGCAACAGCATTATACTTCATGCTGAACCTGTCACATGCACTGGCTTCGGTAAGAGATTTGTTTCTGTAGTAAGAGTGGGTGTCTTATTTAGGTATACCCTGAAGCCCTCAAAGTAATTCCACCCACAGGACAAAATGTCGTGCTCATTTGAAAGCATGAAATCGGGTTGATTTCCTGTTAACTTTACAGTACATATGTTCACTACTTGACCTTTTGAAGGTGGCCTCCCATGTGCTCTTAGGAACATCTCATAGAGTATTGGCAGACACAGAGTGCATATGTTGTACCCCACAAATACATATAAAGCTTCAAAGGACGGGGGCTTCAACAATCAGAAGAGGAATCACAGATTGCTCTGGTGAATTTTCAACAGGACCAAGCTGAGGTGTTTTGTTTTTAAATGTGCATCCCTGCCTTGGCTGACCCATAAACGAACGACCGAGTCTCTTTACCTCTAACAAGCCAGACAATCTGAGCAAAGCAATGTCAGTTCCTACAAATGACCAGTGGGGGCGCTTTGAACTGTCTACTGAAAACAAGCTCAAAAGCGTCATCACTTGCTGAGGAAAAGCTGCATTTCAACAGGAGAGGGGCATTGGAAATTCCTCTTATTTTAATAAGAACGACTGCAGTGGCCTCTGCAATATAACAGCGGAGAAGCAGGAGCCCCAACTCCCAATGCAAGTGCACACAGAGCCATCCTCTGAAGGGCGGGGATGGGGTGCTGTGGGGAAGGGGGTGTGGGTACTCCTTCCCCAGTAGTGATTGGCGGGAAACTAGTATGCTGTGGCCCTCTCAGGAATGCTAACCTTTACTTTTCCTCTGTAAGATCTTGTGGTGTTTGGTTGTTAGTGACAAATTATTTAAACGTTCGGCTTCTGAACGCCGAGAAGTAAGTCACAAGGTGTGCACAGTTAGGATCCGACAGCTCATGCTTTCGTCATGCGTCATTATGCATCAACCTCTTATTTGAAACTGAAGAGAACAAACAAGTAACTCAGGAAATAAATATATATATATATAAAAAAAAGGAAAAAGCATCCCTAAGTGGCCCTTGGGAGGCTTAGTGCTACACTGTTGGCTAAAATGGACCAGTGAAAAGATTTTTGGAGTGGGATTCATATAATATAAATATTTTCTTTTTACTTAGCTTATATTTCTCTATGCAGTTATGTACAGGGATGACCCTTACTGTGCAGAAAATGTACCTTCTCTCGTTCTATGGCACATTACCAATGCTAGCTCTTCTGCTGGGCCCCTGGAACTGGTGAGTGGAATGCATCAGCTAGCTGTTAGCTCTATCACATAATTAAAATGCAAAGGAAGAGGGGCAATGGCCAGGCAGATCAATCTTCGTGGTCAGCGTCAAAAAGCATCATGCCGCTAAGAGAAAATGCCAGGTATGCCAGGCCCAAGATACAATAATCCATCACTGTCATCTCCTCCTCCCTTTAAAGCAGTGGTCTCCCTGAGAATAGGAGAGGGAATCAAGGGGAGCCCTGTTCCTTGAACAACTGACCATTGTGGGGAGCACAAGGTCACTTCCCCGGGCTTGGGGTGCAGGTACACCCCTGCATTTGGTTTTCTGCTCTAAGAGCTGTGGAGTGATCAGCCATCTCCCATGCACTTGGAATAGTCTTACTCAGAACGGATCTTCAAACCCTTTTTAAACAAAGATGGCTGGGAGAGGAGAAGGACTGTCTACCAATAGCAAATGGAAGCGTGGGCTTTCAAAAGAAGAACCCCACAAGACGTTTGTTTTTAAAATACAGCCGATGTTCAAAATGAACCCCAAGTAAGTTTGTATACATCAGAAAAGGTTTCTAGAGTAATATACAAAAAAGAAAACAAGTGCAATCAGGTACAGAGATGGTTTTTAGGCCTCCATTTTTTGCTTAGGGAAAGTCATTACTCTCCATAGCACTTGGTGGCCTTCTTATCACATTCCACAGTTTTGTCGGTTAACTGACATGGACATGTACTTCACTGCAGCCTCCACAGCTGTCTCTCTAAGGGGGCCGCTCCTTGGGACCAATCTCTCAGTGAAGTCCCGACTCAAGCCTGTGGGATGCTGCTTACTTGGAATTAAGGAAACGCTACCAACAAATCCACTTGTTTTTTTGTTTTGTTTTGTTTTTTTTAATCTTTTAATTCATGTTCCATTGCCTAAAGCCTGCAAGGCTATTTTCAGAGCACGCCACTCCTCCCATGCATGGAGAATGCACAGAGAACCATGCACATGCTGCATACTGAAACTGCTTATGTGTCGGGCCTAGAAAGGAAGCGTCAGCCTGGCTGTGACGCTTGGCAGAAAGGGAATGTAATAGAAGCAATTAAGTCATAGAAGACTGGTGGAGGTGTGCCCAGGCTAGTAGAACGCCATAAAACATTATAGGTCTTCTCTGTGGGACCTTGTCCCCAAGTTCTAGCAGAACATGGGACAGGGGACGTTTACCTTCCTTCCACTTCATTATGATGGTTACCAGCATCTCCTACATTATATCCCTTATACAAATTGTACCATCGGCTTCCCTAAGCTTCGAGTTTTACACCTTCCCACCCAGGGCTGGAGCATCTGTCCTTGACCCATGCAGCTGGGTTTCACTCTGGCTGGAGACAGAATTGCAGTCTGGTTCCATCTTTAGTGGTGAACGGAGGCAGGCGTTGTCCCTCTGGGTCCCCGCCGCCACACCCTGTGTGACACACTTTACACGAAATTCCCACATTCTCAGGGACAAGGCCAGATCTTCAAGCAGGGAGTCGAGGTTCAATTTTGAGCGACAGCTCATAGAGTGTGTCTTCATCTATGATGAGGGCTTTGTCAAGCAGGTATTGTATGACCTGAAGAGAGAGAGAGGGAGGGAGGGAGGGAGGGAGGGAGGGAGGGGAGGAGAGAGAGAGAGAGAGAGAGAGAGAGAGAGAGAGAGAGAGAGAGAGAGAGAGATCAGTTGATGCTTCTCTCAGAAGATCAACTGTACATTTTCTGAATGAAGCTGACACAACTAAACATCTTTCCTGAGACATATGGAATTTTTGTAAAACAAAAACAAATGAAAACAAATGAATATATTGTTGTAAAAGTAGTCCTCGTCCAACCTCTAGTTCCAGTCTGCACTCTGTTGTCATTTGGTGTACGTGATCTCAGATGTGTTACTGTGTATTTATATGCATTACACATACTCATAGTATTAAATTTAACCTTATAGTGATAAACAGAATCATATCTCCCATTGAGGTTACTTTTCTCTTTGCAACACAGGCACATGAAGCCCTCACTGCTTACAGCCTTGAGCATGTAGCCAATCAGAGGCTTTAATAATTGCCATACATGTGGAGTTGCAATCAGTATTTTACAACCCATGGTGAGGGTGAAATCCTTGCCGGCTTGTTTCCTGGTGTTCACGTGTGCACGCTCTGATGGACAGATACCAGGAATAAGGAAAGGAAATGGCACTAGAAATGAAGGTATAAGGGCGTGAGGTATTTCCAGTAAATATTTCCTTCTTATTGAAGTATAATAATACTTTTTGATAACTCATGTGAGTATAGTTCTGACAAATACATACACTCACTGCTCTAGGCTAATTTCTGTTGCTGTCATAAACACTATGACCAAAAGCAACTTTGGGAGGAAAGGGTTTATTTCACCTTACACTTTATAGTCCATCATCGAAAGGAGCCAAGGTAGGAACTCAAGGAAGAAACTGAAGCAACCTACTTTTTCTTTAAAAAAAAAAAAAAAGAAAGTCTGTCCAATTGTAGAATGTATTTTGTGATCTCGATGTTGGAATGGGATCAAAGTACTGGAAATAGAAGGTAGAGGGTCAGATCCCAGGAAATATGCTCAACAATGAATAAAACGATGAATTATCTTTTCAAGCTTCCCTTTTCTCGGTTAGACTTGCTGATCATTTCTAGTCCAGGTCCTTACCATAAGTCAGCCTTTGGTGTTATTGCTCAGCTGTGTGGTGTTATAGAACACTAACTTCTACATCCGTCCTTGTGAGTTCTTACTAGCACACAGTGTTACCTTTGGCTGCTGGTCTATGCGGTAAGCAGTCTGCTGGAACTGACGTATCTCTCGAATAATGTGTGATATCTAACAGGAAAAAACAAGAGCAATTCAGAAACATCCCTCTGCATCCTGAGTCCTGTCCTCCATGGGGTAGGAGGAGCCTTGCCTGATCACTTCTTATACCTTCAAGGAGCCAAGGGTAAAGCCAACAAGAAGGCCCTGAACTCATAATCACTGGGCCAGCTGACTCTGGGTGGCCTCAGGGTGGCCACAGGCTGGCGACAGGCTGGCGACAGGGAGAAGCTCTGGGTGCTGCTTCTTGTGGGTTTCTAGCCTCTAACTTGGTGTTCAGAATATGGCTGTCTAGTAAGGAGACTCGTGCAGCTGCCTACTGGTCAGTTGTAGAAAATCATCTTTGGAGTTATGTTCCCCACAGCCTGGACCCAGACTTTAAGAAGTCACTACCAAAAATCTCTTCAACTGGACGACAACAGGTGTCTTTACCCTCTTTTCCACCTCAAGACTTAGAAGCCGACACCACCCTTGTCACCGAGCCTCTTCTCACTAGGCTGTCAAGTCACCAACACAGGTCAGTCACAAAATGGCCACCTACCATTCGCATTTTGGAGAAATTGACAAGGCCTTCTTCTGTAAAGTTCGGGGTTCCCTCTTCAATGAAGGCCAGGTCTGTCAAGTACATCCCGAGGTAAGGGACGGCAGGGGGATTGCAGCTGCAAGGCCAGGAAGAGTGTTTCTTATTCCTGCACACACACAGTTAGGACTTGCACCACGGGAAATACATTTTCCGTTTAGCTAGTTTGGAAATGCGTTAGAAGACTCGGATTTAATAGCCATTTACAGCCACACACTAAAGCCATGAAAGAGAACCTTTTGAGATATTTGTACACTGTGTGAAGACGTGTTGCTGTGATTTGTGGAATAGAGAGCTGAATGGCCAATAGCTAGGCAGGAGATGACAGGCAGGATTTCCAGGGAGAGGGAGGAAGAGGAGGAGGAATCTAGGTGCTCGTATTTTAACAGAAGACTTGGAGCAAGTAGGATGTGCCATACTGAGGAGAGGTAACTGAGCCACATGACAGTTTGTAGTTAAAATTATGGGTTAATTGAGTTATAAGAGCTAGTTGGGGACAAACCTAAGCTAAAGGCCAAGCTTTCATAATTAATATTAAATCTCCATGCCATTATTTGTGGGCTGGTGGTCCTGATGAGAAATCACAACCACAGGAGGCACTTGTTCAGGCAAACTGGGTCTACGTGGTCTTCCTGGTGAGGCCTGCAGCTAATGATATGGCTTCTGGTGCAGAGGGAACAGAGTTTGAATCCCAGCTTGACCAGTTGCTCAGGAATACTGAGCAGGGTGCTCCCTGGTCTACACTTTCCTCACCAGTAATGACAACAGAAAAGCTAATCTCTGAAGTTTGTTGTGAGGCTTAAGAAAGACATGTAAAGCACCCAACACGCAGTGTATAAACACTTAGCAAGTACCTGCTCTGCTATTACTGCTTTTACTGGTGTAATAGCAACATATAGAAGACCATCACTCATCTTTTACCAGTGTGACAAAAGACAAATGTTCTCCTAGGGTAATCCAAGTTCAAGTGTTAAATCACAAAAAAATCAGTTGCAAGCAAATAGAGTTCTTATTTTCTGCTTCCCTGCCCCGTGTTTGTGTGCATGCATGTGCGTGTGCGTGTGCGTGTGTGTGTGTGTGTGTGTGTGTGTGTGTGTGTGTGTGTGTGTAGAAAGAACAATGTAGGTATAAAAGACCAAAAGTAAATACAGTAACAACAGTAATTAACTGCTTCTGGAATATTTACACAAAAAGTCACAATTAATCATTGTGTTTAGATTAAGAGATACTAAATTAACAAAATTATACTAAGAGATAGTTGACTTATGTTGATATTTTACTAGTTGGGATATACTACATACATCTCTAATATACTTACTATATGCACAGTACCCATAAGATGCTCACTATATGCACAGTATCTGTACACACCATGGTCTATCCATAAGATGTTTACTATATGCACAGTATCCACATACACCATGGTCTATCCATAAGATTTTCACTATATGCACAGTATCTGTACACACCATGGTCTATCCATAAGATACTCACTATATGCACAGTATCTGTACACACCATGGTCTATCCATAAGATGCTCACTATATGCACAGAATTCCAAGTGAAAGTGAAAATCTACGATAGTAGCTCCTTCCTATTTCTTCTTTTCCATCAATGAAGGGGGTAGATTACTATTTGCATGCCATGCAAATTATTTGATCATATTCTTGAAGTGTGAATCATTTAATGATTAAAATAGACATACTTTTTAAGAGTTTCTCTGAGGTTTTTAAATCTTCCTTCAGATGAAACAGTCTTCTGAAGTTTGTCCATCAGAGCTTTTGTCTAAAAAGGAAAGAGACAACTTAGTTTGTCAAGGAAGCACTGTAATTTGATGAGAGTGAGCAGTGGCAGGGCATGCAGTTCTTTTCTTCAGTGGCAGGTGCTGATGCCATTTAGTGTTTAAAACAAGAAGGGAAGAGACATGCAAAAGAAGTGCCTATATCCAGGCTTTTGCCGCAGGCTGAGAAAAATGGAAAGAAAAGAAAAACTGTGATGCAGAGAAGACTTAGAAACTTCAGCATGTGTTGAATGAATATCTGAAAGGGGGCAGGGAGTCTCCTAAAAGGGATTTCAGACCAACCTCATTCTTCTATTGAAGTGCTGGAAAGCTGACCCAGGACCTTGTAGATGCTGGACAAGCACTCCACCTCTGAGCTCCATGCCCAGCTCATGGTGAATCTTTTTCAGTATGACTCTCCAAACCATCAACACGTATCTACACAGTATCCTCCACTCCAAATCCTTGCTTTAGTGATCACCCTCATCAATTTGCTAGAGAAGTTTAATTTTAGACTTTACAAAGACCTACTATGGATGTTGACATTGGTCTAGAGTTTCTTCCATAGTCATGGAAGAACAGCAGTGTGACCCTGGGGGATGGGATGAGGACTCATTCCTGGTGGGCTGTACACACAGGCATCTTGGTGGGTCCTGATGCTCCAGGTCCAACTGTGAGAAGCACTTGGCAAGCCTAGGTTGGAGATCACATGACCCTGACTTGGGCTAGAGAGGAGCTATAGTTTCCACAACAATCCAAGATGCTGATATCCCCATCCAAATTTCTGAGGTCTCAGAAGGGCCTTTTTCTTTACCCAGAACTGGCCACAGTCCAAAGAAACTTCACAAGTACAATCTCCCTGATAGTCACAGATCTAGAGAGTTCCACAGGCCTTCTGGGCATCTTCCAGACTGATCTCAGACCTGCTATGGGGAAGACAGTATTGCCAAATTTGGCACCTCAGTGACCAGGCCCTGACTGTGACTGGAGTGAGGTACTTGGCTGAAGATTCCACCACTCTACTGAACAATTGGACAACCCATGCTGTGGCCACTGCCAGTGACTCATACATTGACTGAAACAGTAGAGTCTATTTGACGTTATTATAGCTTGTATCACAAAACTTGAAACAGAAATTTTAACATGAGCTGAGAATCTCTCTTCCATAGTTATCATGCTCTCAAAGTCAAGAATACCACTGAAGTCAGTTATAGAGAAGGCCTGGAAATTCCTTAAAGCTTGAAGGAGGCCTTGGCATGGTGCACCAGTTTTAACGAATTAAACAAAACAATCGCTCACTTATTTACTGACTTTGATAGAGAAGGGGTCTGTACAAGGAGAAAGGAGTCTTTATATCATTTTTATGGCTGTCTGTGAATCCACGGTTGACTTAAATGGAGTTTTAATTCTTACTTACAAAATAACACCATTTTTTTAAAAAAATGTATGGTTTTTACTAGTCATTCCAGGCTTTGTTGGTCACAGACTTCTAAGGATCCTAGTTCAGGTCCTCAGAACTGCCCTTTTACGAAGGAATAAAATGGGAGGGGAGCTGGGAGGGCCTACTTCCTGGCTACACAGAGAACTTAAGGCAAGTCCTGCTCTGGAGAAAAGGGCTCAGAGAGGTAAGTGAAGACAGAAGAAATGATGAACTCATCTTAGGGTGCTTAAGCTCTCAGGGGGCAATAGTACCAACACCTTGAAGAATTGGCAGCAGGATACATGTATGCTCTTTTGGTCTTGCCCTGAGAGACAAGCACTGTGGGAGAGCCCTCTCCAATTCCAGTGGGTACATCAAGGTGCATAGCAAAGTGCAGCGAAAGGTTCGGCTAAGCATGCAGGGCACAGATCTCCTCCCAACAGGCATTAAAACAGTATGGAGGAGCCTGGGAGATTCCTTCAAGACCCTTTGAGAGGACCAAGGTAATAATCCAACAATGAAGAGTTCACATGCCCTGAGGGGCCACCAAGCGCAGAACAGCCTGTGGTAGGGGTGACACACACCCTAGGCTCAGAACATTAGTAGAGCCAATGGCGTGGACACGACAAGGCTAGCCCAACTCCCTTGGAACAATCATGGACTGTTGCTCCTGGGCAGGTTAGATAAACCACGTGCACACCACAAACATCCTGCACCTGATGACCAACCAGCGAAGGACTAGAGCCAGAGCCAGCCTTCTAGAGGTCTAGAGAAAGTCTTCCAGACAGGCTTTTAGAAGGCCCCTCCCAAACTCACCAATACCCAAGGAGAAGGCTTGAAGGGCAGGGAGCAGTATGATTTGATTTGACTACTAAAATGATCTGAGTGGAAATAAGAGAGGCAGTCTAAATCTAATGGGATAAAACCAATGGTCACACATAGGCATGTCTAAGTCACCAGTTCAAAACTCGAAAGCAGCTCCCGGAAGGACCGAGGAAACATTGTACATTGAGGCCTCTGGGGACAAGGGCTTTGGAGGAGAAAGGGGATGGGGAAGAACCCACTGGGCAGTTGTGGGCTCACTTGCCCTCCAGAAAGAATTCAGGAAACAAGTCATGACTGACAGTCACATTGTTTGAGACTGTGCCCCCCTAAACATTCTAATGAGTGTTTTGGAGACACACAGGAGAGGAATTAATTAAGTGGTAAGAGCAGGGTAATTATCCATTGGCACCTTCCTTTGGCAACTGTACCGCTCATTTCAGCTAATGATTTCCTAATTAACAGGATTCATCTGGGCCCTCTCTCTCCATACCTCCCCTCCTCTCAGTAGCAAGGTGTGTTGCACACCGATGCTCACCTGCTTGGACACCTTGGCCCAGGTTTTCTTCAGCCTGTAGATGGCACTTCTGTTTAAGGCTGCGGTGATCTCCAGCACACCATTGTAGTTGTGTAGACATCGGCAAATGTCCGCTACTGCAACCCACTTCTCAATGGCGTTGGCACGGGAGCTGATATCAGCGTAATTCATTATCTGGGAGGCCACCAGGTTACTCATCTAAGACAGCCAAAGAGACCGGCAAGCTAAGAGCCAAAACAATGCATCCCGACAAATAGCTGAGTGGCCCATGAGCACCTAAGGAGAGCTGGCTATTAGGTAGCACAAAGCCCTCGGTCCATCTTTAAACACCAGCTTCCAAAGAGACTAGAATTTGGAATGATAACAGCAGCAACAAACTACCCACACCTGCTTATCCTGAGAGTGGAGACAGGGACTCTCCGGAATCCAGCTTGCCTGAGTAAAAATGGATCTTTTTACATCAGTAGTTTTGATGAAGGAATCCTTGCCAAGAAATGGAATGACTTAACTACTGAGCAAAGGACATATTCCAGACCAGGGTATCAATCCTTGGGGACCTTGGGGACACATATTTCTTTACCCCCAACTATGTGTAGGTAACATACTCTGGTGCTGTGGGATGTTCTGTATGGCAAATGTGTTGCTCTGATTGGTCAATAAATAAAACACTGATTGGCCAGTGGCTAGGCAGGAAGTATAGGCGGGACTAACAGAGAGGAGAAAAGAAAGAACAGGAAGACAGAAGGAGTCACTGCCAGCCACCGCCAGGACAAGCAGCATGTGAAGATGCTGGTAAGCCACGAGCCACTGTGGCAAGGTATAGATTTATAGAAATGGGTTAATTTAAGATATAAGAACAGTTAGCAAGAAGCCTGCCACGGCCATACAGTTTATAAGCAATATAAGTCTCTGTGTTTACTTGGTTGGGTCTGAGTGGCTGTGGGACTGGCGGGTGACAGAGATTTGTCCCGACTGTGGGCCAGGCAGGAAAACTCTAGCTACACTCTGGAAAACCTCAGTTTTCACAGAGAAAGAAAAACTGTGGGTTCCTATTAATCTGAATTCTTATATTTTTGTTTGTGAGCCTGGCCTTTTAATGGCTGAGCCATCTGTCTAGCCAGCCATTAATCTGAACTCTAAATTGGTCATCTCTCAAACCAGAAAATTGCTTAGCATAGAAAAAGAAAAGCACACATTCTTCTTGTAAAATTTCACTGGCAAAACAAACGAACCTTAAATCTAAGGACTGTATTCTACTAACGAAAGCCAGCCGAAGCACCTCAACTTTCAAAATATTAAAGAAGCAGACAGAATACAATCAGCAGCAGCAGGGTGCAGGGGATGTGATTTTGTATCCACACATTAAATCTGATGGGCACCCCCACTCTTTGAAGACACATAAGCTCTCACAGTACCTTTTCATGTCATATAGAAACTCACTAAAACACATACAAGGGCTAATCACTCCCTTAGCTTTAGTGTGGAGAACGACATAGACTCCAGTTTTTTGGGAGGAGGTGATTTGGTTAATCAATAATTTTGATAAGGACATTATTTCCAATAATTATTGACAAAGTGGGCTAGGACACATTTGTCTTAGGTGCTATGAACAGAAGGAGAATGAAATCCACGTCACTGAAGGGTACAGTTTGGATGTTGAATGTTCCCCACAGACTATGAGTCAATGGCCTGGTCCCTAGAGTATTGGAAGGTACCGTGTTGGTCCTTAGCTCAAAGAGGTGTGCATTGAAGGGGATTGTGGCAACCATGCCCCTTCCTCTTCCAGTCTTTTGGTTCTTGTCTGTGAGCTGAGCAGTTTTCTCTGCCAGGAAACCTTTTCCCTACATAAGTGAATCGTCTTAGGTATTTCATTATAGTAACAGAAAGTTGACTAATTCACTGGCCTTAGGTATTCTGAACCCGGCTACGAGGGACGAGGAGCAGAGGGAAGTATGTAAACAAGTAAACAGCACAAGCTAAACGGTAACAGTAAATAGTAAACAGCTAAGCTATGTCTGTTCTGAAGCTGGGGAGACGATTCAGTGGAGAAGCGCTTGCTGTGGAGGCATGATGTCCCGAGTTTGCGTCCTCAGCACTCACTGGGGCATGACAGGATGCACCTGTAACTCCAGTGCTGGAGGAAGGAGACCGGCAGATTCGGGAGCTCACTGGCCAGCCAGGCTAGCCATCTCACTGCCTTGACCCCATGCTGCATAAAGTGTCAGTCTGATTACGGCACTCCCTGACAAAAATCGGTCTGTGGTCTATGTATGAGCTTGGAGTGATTATGATAAAAATAATAACATCTTACACATGATTGAGTACTCTCAGGACCCGGGAATTATGTCTGGGAATGATCACATCCCTTTAAGAATGTTAGGAGATCTAAGTTTGCCCTTACTATTCAATCAGCTCTGTTTATACCGTGGTGGCAGAGTTTATTTATTTCTGTTTCTGGGGATCAAGTCCAGGGTTTTGTGCACGCTTAGACAAGAGCTCCAAGTGCTTACACACACTGACTTATAATCATAGTCTCAGAGTTGATGTATTCGAGAGAAGCCTAAAACCACAGCACTCGCCCCCCTGAACCACACCGATGGCTGTATCTCAGTTACTCACTTCATTGAAGTGCTGGCTGGTTTTCATGATGTAAGGTGTCCTTTCATTTTTATCCAGCTTCATCCAGCCCTGCCCAAGAAACTCTCTGAAAGTTGAGAAGAAAACACAAAACCAGTCAAGTTTGTAAGCAGTGGTGGCGAGACCCTGCATAGTTACACGGATTAGATAGGTACATTTAACTTAACGTTCATGGAGTATTATCCTCCCCACCCCCCATTTTCACTGATCATCTCTAAGGAATTGCAGCTCAAACCTAGCATTCCACCACTTACTGCCAAAATGAAAATGATTTTTCAGTCTCTAGTGTTGGGAATTTTGTCTCAATAAAGGATTCTCTGAAATTAGAAAACGCTGCCCACATAAGAGAAATGAAGTAACTAATAACTCAACAGTCCAGGCGGTGATTTCCTCTGGGTTAATCTCCAAATGCAGCATTCCAGATGATCTATTCTGACCAGAACCTGCTCATTAGAACTGAATTCTTCCTTCCACCCTGCTCTTATTTTCTCTGGAGAATGGAAGTTTCCAAGGTCAGGAGCTGAGCCTCATAGGGGGATGGTCTTCTGAGGTCCTCCCTCGTAGGAAGATGGTCTTCTGAGATCCTCCTTGGTGGGAGGATGGTCTTCTGAGGTCCTGCCTGGTAGGAAGATGGTCTTCTGAGGTCCTCCTTGGTGGGAGGATGGTCTTCTGAGGTCCTCCTTGGTGGGAGGATGGTCTTCTGAGGTCCTCCCTTGTAGGAAGATGGTCTTCTGAGGTCCTCCCTGGTGAGAGGATGGTCTTCTGAGGTCCTCCTTGGTGGGAGGATGGTCTTCTGAGGTCCTCTCTGTGCAGTCATTCCATTCATGAGCAGGTCATGGGGCAGTTGAGATAGAGTGCATGGGAATTATTTTGTGTGGACATTTAGAAAGCAACATGAAATGAAACCAATCGGACACATCCTTAAAGCAGAAATGTTGGCTGGGTCCTCCTGCGTGGTTTATTGTCCCTCACTGCTGCTGGTGCTGCTCTTGGCCCCTATCCACAGGTGGACATAGAAGTGTGGACACAGTTCCACAGCTGGAAATAACTGGGAGATGTTTCAGGCATAGACGGCACAGGGTGAAATGGGAGTCCCAGAAAGATTGCACAGCAAGAGCCACCACCAAGTTCTCTCTTGGTACATTCTCCTCTTGTAGAAGGCAAGGGCCCGCCTTCAAAGTTCTGGGTGGTAGTGAGAGGCTAAGGGGGTGGTGGTGGAAGGGATATTGTCTTTCCTAACCCAAGACTCCAGAATGTCACTGGGTTGATTTGAATGGCCAATGAGTCAGATTCCTATTTCAACTCTGCTCCACGTGCATGGGTAGGTCTACAAATTCAGGGAAGCCAGGAAGAAAAGAAGACAAAATACATAGAAGAACAGTCTACTTGAGTGTTCTTGGGCTCATCCCCTTATGCTTCTCTGACATCACTACAGGTCTCACCATCTCACCCATCTGCTCTGACCTCACTCCTCCATCACCAGGGATGTCCTATGTGTGACAAGAATCCCATTTCCGGGTCTTGCCCAGCTCCTCCATACCTTCAGTGTGGTTACCAGTTCATGGATAATGTGTGTTAATAGCTGCCATTTGTGTAAACAAAGATCTTTCTTTTAAGGATCTTTCAAGCCAGAGTGATTGCGGGAGGCTTAAAGAACATCCCGTGTATACAGGAGAAAATGCAGAGGCAGGACAGGCAGGCCCACGGCCACTGAGCTCAGCAGAATGTGCTAACTCACAGAAAGGGGTGAAGAACTGTAGCAGACGTTATAGCATTAACTGTGAGTCACTTCTCCTCAGAATGAAACTTTGGGTCCCTCCAAACTATGGGGTTCTCATGAAAAGACAATCTTCTGGACCTCAACCAAACCTACTAACAGTGGAATTTCACAGGAATGTTATCTCTGAGAGCACATCTTCTACAAGCTTCTCATATGGCTTTAGACATACTCAAGTTTAAGAACCACCTTTGTAGCTGTGGTGAGGATTCTGTATTTCAAAGATGGGAAAATACAGAGAAATTCACATTCTTGGTAACCTTATTACATATAGAAGAAACATAAACCAAGACCATCTCAAGGATCTCCAAGTCAATGTGCTCAACATGAACTGGGACCAAGAGACATTCATGCATGCTAAATAAAGACCTTGAGATGGAGACTCAACATCCCTGAGCATGGGTGAGTGCATATGCACACCTGTCTACCTTAGAGATAATGGCAGCTTCTAGGCCAGCTACTTCCTGTGAGGGGACAGCACACTCACTCGTAGGGGATGCTTCTGAAGACAACGTGGTCCAGGAGAGTGATCTGCTCAGCCAGCTCCATGGCTGACAACGTCTCAAAGCACTCGGCCTTTGGGCAGTCTGTCTGCAAGAGATGACGAAGGAGTGAAACAGAGCACCTGTGGAGCCTAAAGTCCTTCACTAGTGTCTAGCTCTGAAAGAAAACGCAGCAAACTGAAAACTGTGAAAGCCAGTGTTACCATCACCAACCAGCTGCCGGATCCTGTACTGGGTGAGGCCCTTCTCATCCAGCTCCACAGGCAGACACGTGGTCAACCTCGGAGTCGGTCACCTGAGTTTGCTCACCTCAAGGAGTCTGTGGCTGAGCTTACCATTTGAATGATATCCTCTAGCTTCAGGTGGATGTCATCTTGATCATCTTGTGAAAGAGCCCTGTAAGGAGATGTATGAAACATTCTCCGTGAATAAGAGAAAACGGACGGGCCAGGAAGCTCCAACGCGAGGTGCTTTCTCCCTTGGTTGGGGAGTGTGAGGGTTCAGGTGTGTGAGGCTGTGAGGTCCAACAGCCTGCTGTGCCACACACATGCACAACAGAAAATCACACGTGACGTGATGCGCAGGAGTGATGGTTTAGAAGGAAAGGGCTCGCTCATTACATGCGATCCAAGGGTGTGACTAAGACAGCCACTGTCACAGTGAACGTGAGAGTTGCTAGGGTGCTGCTCCCAGGAGATCCATTAAGGCCAGGGCTCTGGAACTCTCCAGTGATGTCTCATCTATAGACCTGGCACCCACTTGTGCTCCTCTAGCCCCTCCCACTCATGCTTCACTTAGCTCCTCCCCCACATGCTCCTCTAGCCCCTCCCACTTGTGCTCCTCTAGCCCCTCCCCCTCATGCTCCTCTAGCCCCTCCCACTTGTGATTCTCTAGCCCCTCCCACTCATGCTTCCCTTAGCTCCTCCCCCTCATGCTCCTATAGCCCCTCCCACTTGTGCTCCTCTAGCTCCTCCCACTCATGCTCCTCTAGCCACCCCCCCCCCCAATTGTCCACAGAAGCAGAAGAGACGCAATGCACCCTCTTCTCAGCTTGTGGGCAATACTTGGAAGAACATAGAGCAGGAGCAAGCAGGTAATCATCTTGCTTTTTGAGTGTGCATCCCAAACCCAGTGTTATCCAGCTTTCAAAGGGTTATCTTTCAGTCTTTAGGTGAATGAATGATACAAAGAGTTAATTAATACCCAAGATACCATTTTCAAAGTGGGAAGATGTTGTTTATATCCTACAGAAATTCCGAGTCTAGGAGAATTCCAGCCAGTGGAAATTCCATTTTATACCTTGCTATGTGGGCCAAGCATTCTAAGTCTTAGCACACACTGAGCATTAAAATATTTAAGCAGTTCCAAGCCTATAGCTTGTCCCAGGAGAGAGCTAAGGTCACTCTCTTTGTTTATTGTTGGGCAGGGGAATTAAAGCCACAGAAATCGTTAATGACTCTGTCAGGGAAGCAGGTAGGCTAACTACAGACCCCCTCCTCTCTTCAAATCTAATCCCCAAGTCTTAGTCCCAGCTCTGTAGCAGACCACCTGATACAGGTTATTCTTCCCTCTACCCCCATCCCCAGTGGATCTCACAGATCTTCCCCTATAACCTTCTGCTCACCAACCCCCAAATCCAGCAGGTATGATGCCCTGGGAACCCACCTGCCAAGCCTGCCAGAGAAGCAGGTAGACAGCAAAGTGGGGAGGCTTCTGGTCTTCACTCTCCCTCTTCTCCTCCATATACAGTCCCCCAGCCCAGCCCAGCCCAGCTCTGTAGCAGATGACTTATTACAATCTTTCCTCACTCTTCGCCCTTATTCCCAAGGGACTAAGCACATCCTGGTGGAACACCCTGTTTCCCTCCAACTTGTGGAACCCCCCAGGCCTCTCACCTAGCCCACCCCATTCCTAAGTATCAGCTCCCAATACCTAGAATCAAATCTTACCCCGGTGGCCACACCTATTAGAATCCCAAAAGGATTTCCTATCAGGCAACATGCAGCCACCACACTCTCCTAAGAACCAGAGAGGAAACAGAAGACAAGAAAAAAAAAAAAAACAAAACACCCAACCAACAAAAACAAGACCAGATATCAGCACCTATAATTGCAATCTTCCCATACCCAGATGCCTAGATCCTAGCACAGTCAATAATAGACAGGATAATATGTCTTCACTGGAGTCCAACAAACCCACCACAGTAAGCCATGAATACTGAAACATAGTGGAAACACAAGACAAGGACCTTAGAACAGCCTTTATGAATATGATAGAGGTCCTTAAAGAGGAAATGAACAAATCCCTTCAAGAAATCTATGAAGATCAGTACCTAGCCCAACTCTCACCGAGGGGCGTCATCCAGCAACCAATGGGAGCAGACGCAGAGACCCACAGCCAACCATTAAGGAGAGAGCCAGGGGAACCCCTGCAGAAGAGGAGGAGGAAGGATTCTAAGAGCCAGGGTGGGGGCAGGGGGTGATCGAGAAACCATGAGAACATAGGCCACAGAATCAACCAAGCAGGGCCCACAGAAACTGAAGCAACAAACACAGACCCTGTGTGGGTCTGAGCTATAACCATAGATCAGTGCCTTGTTTAGCCATCACTGGAGAAGCTTCCTCCCACCGCACACAGGAACAAATACAGAGACTCGCTGCCAGACATTATGAAGAGAGTGAGAGACCTTGGAACACTCAGCCCTAAATTGGATGTCTCCATCATTCTCCCCTCCCTCAGAGATCAGGAAACCCTAAACCAGAGGAGGCAGAAGAGTGTAAGAATTAGAAGGAATGGAGGACACCAGGAAACAATGCCTGATAAATCAACAGGATCTGCACACAAACGAACTCAAAGAGACTGAGGCAGCATGCACAGGGCCTGCACAGGTCTGTACCAGGTGAGGTCCTAGAGCTTAAAGAAGAAGTAGACACGTGCTCCATCCCTAACTCAGACGTTATCTCCAATGGATAACCACTTACAAATGAAAATTTGTTTTCCTGAAGGGAGTCTCACTGGGCAAACAAGCTAGTCTTAAGGGTAGGCTGCATCCCAGCAGGAGATGGCTGACAGAAAATGAACTCTGGGGATCTTTGGGACTCCTTGTCTCATAATGTTGTATCAGGGCTTTCCCTTTTTTAAGTTTTTTAATTTTTATTTGTGTATTTTTCTTCTCTCTCTCTTTTTTTTTTTTACACTGCAGGTCCTTTGTGTGTGTGTATTATGTCTTCCAGTTTAGTGTTTTAATGGGATTCCTGAGTGTATGAATGAGTGAGTCTCTGATTCTTGTGCCTTCTCTTGGGCTCTTTTCCTTCCGATGTATTTGTTTTCATTTTGTTTTATTATTATCCCTTAGAAACCTGTTCATTCACTAACGAGAGACAGACAGGAGGTGGATCTGGATGGGAGAGGAGGAGGAGGAACTGGTAGTAGAGGGAGGGGAGACCATAATCAGGATATAAAATGAGAAAAAATATTTTTTTTTTTTTTTTTTTTTTT